CGGATAATTAAACCCTGTTAATTGATTTTCCCGCTTAATTGGTTCAAAATTCATGTCATCAAAAATAAATTTCCGTTTACTTTTCACCGTTAATTGCACAATAATAATTAAAAAATAATCTGCCATTTTTTTACATACATATTTGACATAATTTGTGAAAAAGACTAGGTGGCATCTTTACTAATTCAAAACATGTGTTTATTGCTAAGGAAAAACATCGAGAAAGCGTAATTTGTATTTGACATTGGATTTTTTTAAAATCATTAGTAGTTCCAATTATACGTGATTATTGTAATTGAACCAACTATTCAATTAAGCGGGTTCGGATAATTGGTTCCTCGGTTAATTGAACGAAAATTTGTGCAAATTTTGATGTGCAATTAACCGAAAAATACTGTATAACACGGCTTATGGCAAAACGGTTGTTCCATAAGCCGAGAGTAAAAAAGATTTCCAGGAGCGTCTGTTTTCTGCGCATCTCATCAAATTTGAAAGACCATTTTCCAAGATGGCCTAACCAAAGTAGTCGCTGCAGCTCGATCCGTCTGACTATGTCGATATCCGAGAATAGATGGTCCTTTCCGACTTTAACTGCTGGCATTGTACCAGTTAAAGTTATCCTACATAGCCGTATTAATTTTGCAGGAAGCGTTCTTTATACTGGCTGCTATTGAAGACAAAGAGTGCTACTTGCACGGATCTCCACCTGTTGCGCGAATTTCCGCCCATACGTTCATCCAGCCTTCGCAATTACGAGTAGATGGACTAATTAGATTTAGCACATAAATTTAAAAGTGGTTCTTGTAGTAACATTTTGCTAAATCTGGTTTACTTTCCATTCCAGGTCAAACTGCTTTGGAGTTGTGATTTTTACCCTAAATTTACAACAAATATGAAAATCAATGACTAATTTCCTAATGAAAATAAAAATATGTGGTCTTTCCCAAGAATCTACTAGATTTTACTACTTTCTTCGATAACATAAAAGAAAATTCGTTATCTTAGTATAAAGTAGTTGATTCTTGCAGTACGTTAGGAGACCAATGAATACACATAACTACATCAGATTCGGTGCCAGTTTATTTAAAAGTCTATTTGCACCGTCGTAACAAATACTTTCATCGACAGTTTCATGTAAATTCGTCCATCGTGTACGACACACAAAATACGGATATTGTAATAGATAGAAATATGGTATGTTCCCGTACTGCAAGAATCTACTATTTTTTACTCCGATAACACATTTTTCCTTTATGATATCGAAGAAAATAGTAAAATCGAGTAGATTCTTGCAGTACGGGAACAGACCAATAGTAATACATTGAAATACAGCGTTGTATTTTTATCGTACACGGTATCGTTTTATAAAAACGCCACAATGAAAACGACATGATTAAGACGAATATGTTTGAAATACATATATAAGCAGTATTATTATTGAACGCCTGATATTTGAAATTATTTTTCGGGTCACTCACTCAACTTTTTTTCCATTGCAGTTTATTGTGCTCTTATGGGCGGAGCGCATAAGGGGACTTAGGGTATGACATGAAGTATATACATATGTCTGCACGAAGTATGCATACGAAGACTTTTTGCAAAAACTAACTAGAAGAGAAAAAAACGGCTTACTCTCTGAAATATAACTTATTGAGTAAATGTTACTGGAAGAGTAACCAGACATAGCTCATACAAGATATGGTATGCACAACGAAAGAAAAATACACCTCTAAGAAGACTATAGTTTCGGTTATTGAAACTATAGTCTGATCCTCTCAGTTTCTATAGTTATTTAGCTTCTCCACAATAAATTCTTTTAAACACAAATCTCATTTTTTCAATTCAACGTTTTTAGATTAGCAACGAGTCCCTCCACTTGAGATTTCGTTGTTCTATCAAATCAGACTACAAAATTTTTATATGTATGCGTAATAATAGGACAATATCTGACGGATGAAGTAAGTCAATATGTACAGAGCGGTCTCTTTTTTTTGCTTATTTGAAAACGCGCATTATAAATTACATATGAACATACATATGTAAAAAACATATTGTGGACAATCACCCTAAAGTCATATACAGGAATTGTACTGCTTGTTTGGGTGTTTCAGCTTGACAATAACCGAGGTTATATCCGAGGTTATATCCAACGAAACCCTCTCACCAATTCCGTTGGACTCCTAAATTTGTGTTCTCTGACAACTAGTTGCACACTGATCTAGTTGCACACAACCGACTTATAAATCGAGAAATCAGTGTTAACCACTCCTTCTAGTACCTCCCCCACAAAATGGTCAAAATGTGCTAAAAATTATTTTTTTATAACATGCAGCGGACTATCCGATTGTAACGAAACTTTGTACAACCTATTATTTTTACCAAGCCTTTATTGGAACTTGATATTTATAACTTTGATCTTTGATCTTGAAGTGAGATGTAGAGCTATCATGTATAAGCTTAAGCGTGGTTTGCCGTTGGATGAGGATGATTGGCTCAGGCCTTCTGATTTGGTGGATGGGGAGAGTAGGCGGTACAGCACTATCCTTCGGGACTGTGTTGTTGATAGGTGGAGGACTAGGTGGACGAACAGTGACAAAGGGAGGGTGACGTACGAATTTATTCGTGACGCAACGTTCGTAGTGGACCGGCCAGACTTTCGCTTCGGCTTAAGTACTGGTTTCTTACTGACGGGGCATGGCTTACTTAATGCTTTTCTGCATAAAAGAGGCCTTGCACAGACGGTATTATGTGGGTGCGGGATGACCGAGGACTGAGATTAGAGATTTAGCAAGTATGGGTATATCGAATGGAGGGGCGGGGTGGGATTTTAGTGTGGTGATGTGTTCTGATGTCCGATGCCGCGGTCCGTTGGGGCCCTTGGTGCAGTCCGTGAGGACAGCATGTTAATTGTTTGTGTATTTGTCATTGCTTGTGGCCAGGTTTTTCCTTGCCACCTGCAGTTATCGTCGTTGCTTATTGTTGTTTTGGGATACCAGCCCGGACGTGCGTCAAACTGGAAGAGGCCTCGGTCTCGAGCCTGAGCGGAGGTTTTTCCGTACCGCGGGTGTCATGTGCCCCTGGATCTGTCGATCCAGCCTGACAGTTGGTGTGGCCCCCTGGGAGATTCGCGGGGGTTGTGGTTTCGCCCCTCACCAAAGGGGGGAGTGTGCCTTCTGCATGCTCTCCAATTGGTACAGTACTTCGGTGCTGGAGCGCTGGTGGGCGCTTTTCCGCCTGTGGCTCAGCCACTGTGAGGTAGGCCTATTGGCAGGAACTCACATAAACTCTTCAAGATACTTCCCCCAAATGCATACTTTCGGGTTTTTCATAAATAAAAATTATCTGAAAAAAGGCAAAATCATTTCAGCCACTTAGTTATCTCCATAAAATTATATGGCTTCATATTCGAAATATACGAATTCCGCCATCAGAATTATTTTTGAATCTTGTAAAACAGAATATAGAGAATAATTTAAAATGATGCATTGGGTTTTCTTAATATTGGGCTTTTATTTTTCAGAAATAATGTACTGTATCCCCCGAATGCATGGATCTAGCGATGTAAACTTTTGTCCATATCATATCTAGGATAGTCGCATTAAATCTGTGAACTGAAAATTGTTCTATGATTACGGGAAAAAATTCGGGGCTCAAAGGGTTAAAATAACGCTGGGTTTTTGGCATGGTAAATGTCGCGAAATTGTGCCGGTTTTAGGAAATAAATGACAGAATATAGAGAATAATTTAAAATGATGCATTGCAGGCTTTTTAAAAGTAAAAATTGTTTTCAATTTTGATTTTTAATATTTATTGTTTCCAATATTTCGATTGGAATCTCCAATCATCCTCAGGGAATTGAAGAAAGTTATGTTGTCTTTAAGTCAACGTTCTTACTTCAACAAGAACGTACAACAAAGATTTATAAAATTTTCAAACTTTTTCAGTAAAATTGAAAATGATGAATGAAAAGTAAAAAATTGTATAGTTTTTATATATGCAGCAGGATATAAATTTTGTTTTCTACATAATGCAATATGCATTTCTTTTCCCTTGGTTCTAATTAGCGCACAAAAAAAAGAAACAAATGTGGGGCAACTCAAACAAAAAATTCTCCAAATTTTTATATGTATAAATGTATTAAAACAACAACATTTTCAGAAAAAATGGAAAACATGAATGAAAAATATATATATATATATGGGTTAATACTATAGTCAGGAGAAAGATAATTATTTTTTCTATATAGATCCCTATGTAATTCACTAAAATATGTTACATTTTTGGTGTAAAACAAGAAACAATAGGTTTGAAATAAAAAACTCTGATGACATGCATTATGAATAGTGTTGTATGAACGGGTTAATTCATGTACGTAATTCTGAGAGCGAACTACGTTGTTCGGATGCCCGTCAGAACATGGCATTACACTTGAAGTTGATGTGTGTTCTCTTCGGAGTTATATATATATTAACTTTTTGTTAAACTTATGGACAACCTAATATTTTAATCATTCCCCGCACCGGTTCTACACCAGGCATGCTTACCCATATACGCTACCGTAACTGAGGGTCGATGAGTAAACACATTTTCTCTTTCTTTCTCCTTACGTCAGTCGTTTTTAATGGTGAATTCTCAGTTACGCTCGCACACACTTGCTCTCAATTTAATTTTGCCCAACACTGTTCTACACCAATTGTTTGTTGCAATCGATTATTATAATCGTAATCGACTATAAAGTCTACCCTGATATTAGATATACCACGCATTTAAAAGCTGAAAACTGTGAATCGTTCCTACTGCATAACCTGTAACTATTGCCTAGAAATAACCAAAGCGAAGTATTCGATTACTCATCCCGTACTGAGTATGACACTGCAAAATATTCAACGTTGAAAAGTTGTCACCACTGCATCGAGTCAGCTTTTCGTGCGATTAGTGCTAATATACGTTCGTGCGGGTGCGAATTTTTTGATTGTGTCAACTGAATAATTTAAGTTAATCTTGTTAATTAAATTAAGTAAAGACCACTAACATCAATAAAACAATGGCTGATTCTAAAAGGTTAGTACATAGTGATGTGTTCCACACCCGAGATATCTGTGTAGTAGAGCGTTCTTTCTTCGAGAAAAAAGCCGACAAAAAGTGCAACCTGGGTGAGAGGAGAGCAAAACGAACTCAAACTTGATTCAATTTCGCGAAGTCATTGCAATCAAATTTTCCTTACAAATCTGATGCCAGCAATGTACATATTTACATGTTTTTAACAATTTTAGGAAGAATGACAAAGTAGTACTTGTTTTGCATAACTACCTAGGAATTAAAAACAAAGTTACCAACAGATTTAATATTATTCTTTTTTTTTTTTCAAAAAAAAAATGTATTAAATTCAAATAAAATTTTTTTCTGAATGGAAAGGAAGGAAGGATTGTGTTTAATTGGAAAAACTTGTGTTTAGAGTCATTTTATTTTCAATTGCCACACCACAAGATATAAACAAAGAAATAAAATGGCGAATAATGGCAACGGCGGTGGTGGTGGTAGTCGTCGTAGTATAGAAGAAAACCCCCAATTCTCAAACCAATTGCTAGGCTCTGATGATTACGATTTGAACGATGAGACACACAAAGTTTTTAGAAAATGTACAGAAACTATCGCATGAAGACAATTTGAAAAGAAACCAACATTCAAAGTCTGACCGTAAATGTGTTGATGATAGAGGAGGACGGTTCGATTATTTCGTCTGTAAACACTGTATTACATATTGTTATTGTTTGTTGTTTTTCTGTTGGTGTGTAGCGAGGACTTGGCAACTGCTATTCTTAAACGCAAGGATCGCCCAAATCGCTTGATCGTCGATGAAGCTACTAACGATGACAACTCGGTGGTATCGCTTTCGCAGGTTAGTACACTTTTTTGTTATTTATTTTTTGAAATGAGACTTACCACTTTTTGTTTATCGAATAGGCCAAGATGGACGAACTCCAACTATTCCGTGGTGACACCGTCATTCTTAAGGGAAAACGACGCAAGGAAACTGTGTGTATTGTTCTCTCGGACGATACATGTCCCGACAGTAAAATCCGCATGAATCGTGTTGTGCGTAACAACTTGTGTGTTCATCTTTCCGACGTTGTTTCGATTCATCCTTGCCCTGACGTGAAGTATGGCAAACGGGTTCGTATTTTGCCGATAGATGATACAACCGAGGGTATAACAGGAAATCTTTTCGAAATTTATTTGAAACCGTACTTCTTGGAGGCGTATAGACCAATTCACATGGGCGATATATTCATTGTCCGCGCTGCTTTGCGACCAATTGAGTTCAAAGTTGTACTGACTGATCCAGAGCCATATTGTATTGTTGCTCCAGAGACGGTTATTTTCTGTGATGGCGATCCTATTAAAAGAGAGGTAGAAACAATTTAATTTTATGCCATTGTATCGACTTAATTTTCTGCTTCAAATTGACAGGAGGAAGAAGAATCACTTAATACTGTTGGCTATGATGACATTGGAGGTTGTCGCAAACAACTCGCCCAAATCAAAGAAATGGTAGAACTACCACTTCGTCATCCATCTCTTTTCAAAGCTATTGGTGTAAAACCACCAAGAGGAATTCTTATGTATGGTCCTCCAGGTACTGGCAAGACATTGATTGCTAGGGCGGTTGCGAATGAAACAGGTGCCTTCTTCTTTTTGATCAATGGCCCCGAAATCATGTCGAAATTGGCTGGAGAGTCTGAATCAAATCTTCGGAAAGCCTTTGAAGAAGCTGAAAAAAATTCGCCAGCTATTATCTTCATCGATGAAATCGATGCTATTGCTCCCAAGCGAGACAAAACTCATGGCGAAGTCGAACGTCGTATTGTTTCTCAATTGTTAACTTTGATGGATGGCATGAAGAAGAGCTCGCACTTAATTGTTATGGCCGCCACTAATAGACCAAACTCAATTGATCCTGCATTGCGCCGTTTCGGTCGATTCGATCGTGAAATTGATATCGGTATTCCAGATGCCACTGGCCGTCTTGAAGTTTTGCGCATTCACACCAAAAACATGAAATTAGCCGACGATGTCGATTTGGAACAAATTGCATCTGAAACTCACGGTCATGTCGGTGCTGATTTAGCATCATTGTGTTCCGAGGCCGCTATGCAACAAATTCGAGAAAAAATGGATCTTATTGATCTGGAGGACGACAAAATTGATGCCGAAGTATTGGCATCACTAGCTGTTACTATGGAGAATTTCCGTTATGCCATGACAAAGTCGAGCCCTTCGGCTTTGCGGGAAACTGTTGTGGAAATTCCCAATACAACTTGGAGCGATATCGGTGGTTTGGAGAATGTGAAGAAGGAGTTACAAGAATTAGTTCAGTATCCTGTTGAGCATCCAGACAAATTCTTAAAGTTCGGTATGCAACCAAGCCGTGGCGTATTGTTCTATGGACCACCTGGTTGTGGTAAAACGTTATTGGCAAAGGCCATTGCTAATGAATGTCAAGCAAACTTCATTTCCGTTAAGGGTCCTGAACTACTTACTATGTGGTTTGGCGAATCTGAAGCTAATGTTCGTGACATTTTTGATAAAGCTCGTTCAGCTGCACCTTGTGTGCTTTTCTTCGATGAGCTGGACTCTATCGCAAAAGCTCGTGGTGGAAATGTTGGAGATGCGGGTGGCGCTGCCGACCGCGTAATTAATCAGATTTTAACAGAAATGGACGGCATGGGTGCCAAGAAAAATGTATTCATTATCGGCGCCACTAATCGCCCAGATATAATAGATCCAGCTATTTTACGCCCAGGGCGATTGGACCAACTTATTTATATTCCACTTCCTGACGACAAATCTCGCGAAGCCATCCTTAAAGCTAATTTGAGAAAGTCGCCTTTGGCAAAGGATGTTGACCTTTCCTATATTGCCAAGGTCACACAAGGTTTTTCCGGTGCTGACTTGACTGAAATTTGCCAACGTGCTTGTAAATTGGCCATTCGTCAGGCTATTGAAGCAGAAATTAAGCGCGAAAAGGAACGTGGTGAAAACCAAACATCGGCTATGGATGTAAGTATACATTGAAGAAGTGCAGTTGGAAGTAAATATATTAAGCTAACTTAATTGGAATATATAGATGGACGAAGAGGACCCAGTTCCCGAAATTACCCGTGCCCACTTTGAAGAAGCAATGAGATTTGCTCGCCGTTCCGTATCAGATAATGACATTAGGAAATATGAAATGTTTGCCCAAACTTTACAACAGTCCCGTGGTTTTGGACAAAATTTCAGGTAACTAATAATTAGAGATTTTATATTCTACCATGACCTTTTCAAATGTTCTTATTTTTATATAATTGTAGATTCCCAGGAAGTTCCAGTAATACACAGGGATCTGGTCCAAATGCACCAGCGAATCCACCTGGAGACAATGGGGATGATGATCTATACAGTTAGATTTTTAGTTTTAGTTCTTTTTTATAAAATATAAAACATTTAATATATAAAACGAGAAACAAATAAACATACATACAACAACGTACTTTGAAAACATATGCATCATACATTAATCCCATTGGCTGTATGTGTATTTGAAAACCCCAAAACAATTCTCTACAATTAAATATATCTATGAAAACTTCACAAAATTATTATACATTACAATTAAATCAACCATAACATTTTAAATAAACCAATTCCAAAAATGGAAAGCAGTTGCGGTACATGAATCGTCTTTCATTTACATCAGTAGTCAAAGTAAGTAGTCAAATTGTATTAAATTGGCAACATGTGTATATTTTAACATATACAGCCGATCATCAATACACGTAATGAATTCAATTCTTTGGCAGAAATAAATTCTCGACAATGAAATCCTTCGATCATGAACTTGTGCACTGTCGTATTTATATGACAAATCGGTATACAATACGTCAAATTTTTCATCAAAGATTCTGCTGACGACAGCATACAAAAAAATAAATAAAATAAAATTCTCGCTTTCGCCTTATTATTATACATTACAATTAAATCAACCATAACATTTTAAATAAACCAATTCCAAAAATGGAAAGCAGTTGCGGTACATGAATCGTCTTTCATTTACATCAGTTGTCAAAGTAAGTAGTCATATTGTATTAAATTGGCAACATGTGTATATTTTAACATATACAGCCGATCATCAATACACGTAATGAATTCAATTCTTTGGCAGAAATAAATTCTCGACAATGAAATCCTTCGATCATGAACTTGTGCACTGTCGTATTTATATGACAAATCGGTATACAATACGTCAAATTTTTCATCAAAGATTCTGCTGACGACAGCATACAAAAAAATAAATAAAATAAAATTCTCGCTCTCGCCTTATTCTGTATGAAGTTCGAAAGCGAAAAAATCCGCTTTGGGGAAAAAATTAGGTATTCTGGATTACAGGGAGTAGGAGAATGAGATGACATTTTGTGCAAAATTTTTCGCTAACAAATTCAAAGGAAGCTGACTACAAAAACATAAGTAATAAATATTTTAATGAAAAATATTTACACAATTCTATGACGATTTATAATATTATAAATGATAGTAAGCAAATTTTTAACTGGAAAACAACAATTAAAATGCCATTGGAAATCCTATTGATAACGATGCATGCTGAACCAAATATTGCCAAGGAATGTATAAAGATAATAAAGAATATTTAAGTCGTGTTTGATGCATTTTGGAGGCGAAATACATTTTGGGTGAGGATCTGTCTCATGAAAAAAATTTTAAAAATTATGGAAAAACCAAATTTGCCTGATGAGCCACTTAGCAGGGAAAAACTTAAATAAAAATTATTAAAGAACAAAAATAAAGGTACAAAAAATATTTGTTTTTCAAAATTACCGTCTACATGATTTGAAAGAAGAAATAAAGGAATAGGAGCAAATCATAGCATATCTGGCCACTTTAAGAATTTTAGGAGATAAAATATCGAAATTAAATAAAAAACAAACAATTATGTAGTGAAATCTCGCAGATTTCTTCCCATTATTCGTTGTGTTTTTGCCATCATAAAAAAATGTTCTTTTATTTGTAAGCTATTGTAGTTGTTGCACCAAATTGCTTCAAAACAATGAACAGCTGTTTCACATGCCATATTGTAGGTTGCCATAAACTTTAATTTATTTTCTTTTAATAACAAAGCATTTATACAGCGGATTATTGATATTTCACATTTGTATTGTTATAATGTTTAAATAACAATAAAAAGTAAAAAAATCAATAAATAAAATATTGCACAATTAAATTACAATGGGGCAACACACATTGCAACTTAAATTACAATATGGCAACATACATTACAACTTAAATTAAAGTATGGCAATACGAATCTTTTTTTTAACTACCATATTCGCATCTCGCATTTTTTGTGTCTCCCTATTCATTCAGAATACGGCGAGAATGTGAAAGCGAAAATTTTTTTACATGCGAGATATCTCCCAGTGAATATCCAGAATAAGGCTGTGCAATTTTCAATATTCATAAGTGGTTTTGTGGAACCGATCCATGGCCTTTCCATTCATGAAAAAATAAATAATTTGAAAAGAATTCAAATTGCAAAAATTATTTAGAAGACAAAAAATGGCGTAGCTTTTCCAGTACATTATAAAAAGGGTTCCAAAAATCAAATTTTTGTTTCGTTTTTGAAAGAGTAAAGGAAAAATCTATAATAAAATTTGGCTTAGTTGTAAATTTTACACAATACCGACCAAAAACTGACAATGGTGATGAATAATTCCGAGGGACGAGATTTTTACAACTCATGTATTTTTCAAAATATTTAGAAAATTCCAAAACCTGCAAGAATGTAGAATGTTTTACTACGATAACAATTTTTCCTTTATGATATCCAGAATAATAGAAAAATTAAGAGTCGATTCTTGTAATACGGGAACAGACCAATAAAAATTCAATTATTACAAATTGTTATTTTGTTTTGTTATTGTAATATAACTTACAACAACAAAATTCCATGTGGTTGTTGTATCGTTTGTTGTTATTGTACCTTGCAAATTTCTTAACAACTTCAAATAGTAGTGTACATTTGATTTTTACTAGATTTTTCTGGATGTTGTTCAATAACTTTTTTCAATATTTCACTTAAAGGGAAAATCTCAAGAAGTCTTGAAGCTATAGCCGATTTATTGTGTCAGTATCAAGGGACGGCAAGAATGATTATCAAACTTTAAACGCATTTTTCGAAGCAGTGTTTTACGAATGGCGGGCACGATAACTTCAAAACTAATAATCCAATCGATTCCAAATTTTTACACGTTTTTCTGGGAATGTGTAGTTCTCGTATGAACTAGGATAAAGCCATTCGGTGAAGACCTTGCTTTTTTAACTTAGTTTGTGGTAAAAAACAGGCGATTTTCAAAAAAAAAAAAATCAAAGTTCCGCCATTTTGTTAATTGTTGTGCGAAGTCAATAATCCTAGTTCATCGAGAGCCAGACATGTACTCTTTCTAACACCGTTATAATTTTCGGATTCCGATGTTCCAGTGAGGAGTTGTCATGCCCGCCTTTAGTTACCTATAATACTATTTTACAGCACTAAAAAACAGTAAATATGCTAGGTTCCGCTGGCAAGTATTTTTTATATTCTCCACCATGAGGTACATGGTAATTCTTCGAGAAACCAATGGACTACTACACCAACTTCGGTTGAAAATTAAGGACAGACCCTTAAAAATAGCTACAGTTGTCGGGATCATTATATGGGGAATGTGTCAAAACATTAACATTGGACATTTTTTGTTTGGAGATCTGTAATCTGTTGAAAAAAACAGAAGGCAAAATAAACAAAATATAACTGAAAATGTGTAGAGACTTTAATATTTTATACTGTAAAAATCCATAATGCCAACTTATGGGGATATCGGTAGGAAAAAGCTCCAGGATTTTATTAATTTTTTAAATCCAACCTGCCAAACTCGGCGTAACTTTTTAGTGTTTTGATAATTTTCTCCAGAGTTGTAGTTTTCTAACTGTTGTAATGCATTTGATTTATACTGATTAAGTTTTTGCAGATTTCCACCTGGGTTAATTGATTGTTTAGTGTTTTGATAATTTTCTCCAGAGTTGTAGTTTTCTAACTGTAGTAATGCATTTGATTTATACTGATTAAGTTTTTGCAGATTTCCACCTGGGTTAATTGATTGTTAGATTGAAAATTTACCTCTTAATCTAAATTATTTCCGAACCGACGGATGGCCGGACAAACGGATAAAGCCAAATCATCTAAGAATTTTATTTATTTCAAAAAATGCAATTTGAAGCCTTAAAGGCCGATTTTAATTAAATCGCAAACCATACTACTCCATATAATAATTAAATCTTAATAACTATATCTTATAAAGGTATGATAATCCTAACATATAATAATATGAAGTTTTAATGGTTAGCAGTTAAATGACTACTAAAGTACATATTCATACATATTCACTACATATTAACATTCCTAAATACTTTAAAACTTTATTTTATATATAAGTCAATTTAGAATTGTAAAAAACCAAATTAATTCGATTAGAGCAAAAGTTTCACGTCCAAAGTGAAGAATATGTTAATAATAACGGGCAATAAGCCTTGTTTTAATCGTTCTATATAAAAGGGAAGCCAAGGGGACAAGCCCTGATGACCCCATGTTGTCTAGGACTACAAAACTTGCTAAATATATATACATTATTTTATTGTATATATAATTTTGAGTTCTTGGTTAGACCGTATAGACTAATTTACGATACCCGTCCGATAGTCCCATTTTTAAATGAATCACAACGCTGTAAATTTATTTATTTTTTTTAATTACACTATGCGACAAATTTAATTTTTTTTAGTTACCGGAAATTCCAAAAGATTAATAAAAAAGACACGTGTTTCGGCGTTTTGAAAGTTTACGTCGAGGATAACCTAATTGGGTAAAAACTTGTAAAAAGTACAATTTTAGCCCTAAAATGATTTTTGTTTTTTAAGATTTTTGACTTTTAGGCTGATTTTTGAGTTTTAGTCTATTCTTATACTTATAGTAAACCATTATCGCGTTTTGAATGAGTTTTCAATTACTTCTGGAAAAGGGGACCGAAAAGACTCTTCAATGAGTCGATTGAGGGTTAAAGTTGTATACCAAAATATATATTTTTTTAGCCCCTCTTTCATAACATGTTGGAATTTCCCGGTAGTTATTTTTTGTGTTGCACAGTGTTATTTATTATAATTAACGAAAGGAAGGGGAAAACAAATTGCAAATATCTAACGATATGGCAATTACCTCTTTCAGACAGTTGAAAACATTTGATGGGATCTTTTAAAACTTGGAAAAATAAATTAAGCCTTCGAGTAAAAATATACACTGAACACTATCCCCCACATTCGCGTGTATTAACATAGATTTTTCTCTATTTTTAACATTTTTGCAATATTTGCGCACATGGGAACTGTTAAACACAGAGGGGAATGCAAATATGTATAGCCAAACTTTCTAACAAAAGGTGTGGATGTTGCTTCTTTTTTCATAAACTACTGACCGAGGTGGCGAACACAAATGCAAAAAACAACGACTCTCGATTAAGGAATTAACAAATTTTAGCAAAGAAACACACAATTCCAATGGGAAAACAATTCACAAATGCAAAAGATACAATTAATTAATGGATTTGCTATTTTTCTTTTAATATTCTTAGTATTTCCCGACACAAAGACAGAATAAGAGCGATCGTTCACGAGCGACAGTTTGTTAAGGCTGCGACAATAGAACTGATTTGACGGAGAGACAATTGTATTAAGGAAGATTAGAGAGGATCTTCCTCAAATTAGAATATTGTGCGATAAGGAAGTCTATATAGGAAGTCAGTAGAAAAGAAGGAATAGGAAATCGAACTGCAGAGTTGGAGTAATTTCTATAAAATTTATAGAAATTAATACAACTCTGCAATTCGATTTCCATTTATAGTATAAGTGCAACAATTTGGGTAATTAAAAAATCTTTGGTAAGAATAATCGGTTTGGAGTGAAAAATGAATCTACATGAATATGTAGATTTCAGGAACATAATTTTTAAAAGATTTATTGCTGCATTTTGTTAATACTCATAGGGCTTATTTATATTAACACAAATATGCCGGACTATATCGTCGACGACTCAAATCGCCATAGCTTATTACTAGACATCGCATTTTACATATCTGTGCAAAATTAAAATTTAAATATTTTGAGAACCAAACGGTTTTCGCTAGTCATCCTTTTCGGCAAATTATGTCAGTTCATATCGAGTGAGTTTTTATTCGACAATAAATTTCGATAGATCATACCTATGGTCTGTTCCAGAACCTGCAGGTATGTACAATTTTTTACTACGATAACAATTTTTCCTTTATGAAATCGGAAAAATTAGTAGATTATTGCAGTACGGGAACAGACCACTACTGTATGACACCATCCGATACATTACATATTTGGTTTGTTCCTGCACTCCTAGAATCTACTAGTTTTTGCTACGATAACCAATTTGTCTTAATGATATCGAAGAAAATAGTAAAAATTAGTAGATTCTTGCTGTACGGGAACAGACCAATTGTTTTAGGGGAAATTGCTTATAATTGTATAGAAAAAAAAAACAAAAAACAGCTGTTGGTGCAAATAAATGTCAAAAATGTTGTTGTAGTCTCATGGTATAATAATAGAAGGTAACAGCAAGTGTTGTTGTACAAAAAACGATACAACAACCACATGGAAATTTGTTGTTGTAAGTTCTACTAGTGTCAACTCATTTGACAGAAAAATGTAAACAAACAAATGGAATATTTTCGAATCCTCAAAATAAAAATTGAAAAACATGAATGAAAATCTATCAAATTTATATTTCTATCGCTTCCACATCTTTCCTATAATTGAGCCATTGCCATATATATGTGTAACACATATGAAAATGCTGGGAATAGCGAGTTATTCCTTGAAGAATGATTTGCTTCCTCAAACTTTCCCAGCAGGCAGGTTGAGTAAATTGAATACAAGAGCACATTTAATAAAGAACAATTTCAAATTGTATGCGTTCCCAATTTTCCTGTTGGGTGATTTTTAAAAACATAATTTGCCAAATTCATATTGACACTAGTATTACGTTGGAATCAAATCAGCTGGGATTTGCTGTTACCTTTTATAATTGTATCATGTTGTAGTCTAGAACCAAAAAATTAAAAAACAAATGGTATGTTCCCGTACTAAAAATTAAAAACGAAAATCTCCGAATTTTGAAGAGCTTGTTTGGCAATACTTTTAATAACATTTTCTACAAGAATTTGTGTAAAAAAATCTTATGAATCAGTTTGTTTTGTCAAAATATTTTTGACATATCAAAATACAACTGATATTTGTTGTAGAAATTCGCCGATGCTGCTACCTTATATATCTACCTTGGTTATAAGGGTGATGTAGAAAAGGGCTAATATTAAAAGAAGATGCACAGTGAAATCTCGCTAATCCTGACAATTCATTGCAGACCCTAATCCGAATTATCTGTGTTTTAAAGTGGTTTTAATTAAAAAAATAAAGAATGTGTGTTCGTGTCAAGTGTTACTGCTCTTAATTTCGCCAACTCCATTTCTCTTCAAAATACTTCAGCCATCTCATCAAGGTAAATGGCATATATAACTTTTTAAACTTTGGAATTTGCCGGTTTTTATTTGAAGAAATGCGGAGTGAGGGGTTTGCGCCATGAATAGGTCATTTAGGTAAAATTGGATATTGAATGTAATTGAATATTCAATTCGCTTCATATGAGATATACAAGTTTGAAAAATGTTCACCCTTTGAGGGGGAGGCATTAGAAGGAGTGAAAGATAAGTCCTATCTTTCACCATTAAACAGTCATGGTAATAAGGTCGTGCCAAGTTTAGTTCAAATCGGATATTCCGTTCACATGATATTCTGACCATTTTGTGGGGGTGGTATAAGGAGCGGACCGATACCCTCCATCTTCGAACATGGTCGATGTTTGGAATAAAAATTACGACGTGCAAATTTAGAATGAATTCAGTTACTCCCTTCAAGTGTTGTCTTGTTCCATAAAAAATTTAAATAAAAAATGTTTTTAAAAACGTTCTTCTTCACATAACTTTCCATTTTCATAGAATAATATATCTGCCACGGATAACAAATCAATGTACACAAAAAGTTAATTCCAATTTATTTGGTTCCACTTAAATATTTACTTTGAAAAAATTGTATATGTATACGTGTTACAATAAATTACAAATTGGTTTGTTGGTATATCATGGGCTGTGTTTTGGAAACATATTCTAATATATTCCTAAAAATACATAGGTGTTGCATGGATTAATCTCCTTTAAGACGTTTTATAAATTCAACTTGTTGCATTTCCTTCCACTCCTTCTTCGGCTTCATGCGCTTTAGTTGACCATCCCACACTAAATCAACAAGCCCACCTTGCTTTGCAATAACGCTTTTCACACGGTTAGCAAAATCGATTGCAGATTCGCCCTGCTGCCTATACATAGGAGGCAAGTACCAAACGTCGCAGACAATTGCCCAGGATGTCATCATCATGTATAAGTATTGCAACATAGAATATTTGGAACTGTTCCAAAAAGCATCGCCAAAACGTGGATCGTATCTGGATAAGAAATGTATATAGCAATCATTTAATTCAGAATTGTAATTAAATCTATGACTGGAAATACTAGAAACATCTTCAATTCTAACAGTTAGAGATGGACTGTACAGTACACCATCGATTAAATCCACTTTTTGTAATATCTTAAATGTAAGTGTAAGAGGCCCTGGTATAGGCGTAAATGTTGTATAATACTTTATAATAATTTCCCATTGTAAAGTTGAATGGGACTTTAAAAAATAACATGCATCTCATAATCGCTTTCCTCAACTTCTCGTTTTAGCGAGTTAATCGACGTGTGCACTGAGCGGCTCAAATATTGAATAGTAAAAAAAACAAAATAAGGTACTACGTATTATGTAAAAATATTTACTTTATAGCTACTGGATATATGACGCCACCAACTTCGAAGCTGCCTTTTTTAAATTGCATTACGGAAGTGTTGTTGATACAAGTTCCCTCAGGGAATATTAATATAGGTGGGTTGCTGGGATCAGATACGTGTTGCTTGAGTCTTTCAGCAACAGCGTGGCGATCTTTGGCCTCTCCCCTCTCGAACCAAATATGTGGAGATGCTCGGGCTAAAGCTCTTTGGAGAATACCTAGGAAACCACCATGACGCTGTCCAATCTATGTTTTGAAACGTAATAACAATATGCTAAATTTAAGGTCAATCGTTATAAGTTAAACAAAGTGTTGGCCATAGCGAAGTTATTTGTTTTAATTTATTACCAATCTTCGCTATCACCAACAAAATGATGACACGTGCTGGGGGTAAATACGATTACATGCATTTATATAACGGATAAATAAGCAATGTCAAATGTACTCAAAATAAAAACTTAAAACACAAATCATGCATACCACTTACCAAGGAATAAGTCGTGTCACACATTAACACTAGCACATCAATGGGACTTGTGTGATTGGCTACACAAATCCCCGTCGTTGGACGATTTTCTTCATTGTGATAGTTAATTACTGCAGATATAGCACTGGACAATACAGAGAAGCAATGTCGTAAAATACGATTAACCAGTTGACGTTTACGATCACCTTCTGGCATGTATCCCACAATCGCTGTACATATAGTAAGCCATACAACCTGATTATAATGAATGCATAAAGAAGGATGCATAGAAACAACAACAAAGATGGAGAAATGAGGCATATTAATGAAAGACACAGAGGACGCAGGACGATAACAAACAGAACAGTAATCACAAATAGGCACACTTCAGCATATCGCAATGACACATTTGATCGTACAAGTAAACCCGATTCCCTCAATGAATAAGGAAGGTTCTATGAGGAATTTGTGGTCTTAGCGCATTAGGTTTGGTACATGCAAGTCGAATTGCAATTACAATAAAAATTTAGTATACAACAGTACGATCCCCTTATTTCAATTTGTTGCTCACCAGTGAAAAAGTACAATCTGTTGATAATATGGCCACATCGAGTGGTGAGGTATGATTTGCCACACAAAATCCTACGGATTTTGGTTTGTACTGCACATTATAGAAATTTATAACGGCCGATAAAGATAGGCAAATAATTCGAAAAGTGACCTTAAAGGCAATGTCCGCACAGAAGTGGCGTATCATTTTTATTGGAATCAAAGCCACTAAACTGTTGGAACATACAGCAAAGACCACCTGTTATGGAAGAGTAGCAAAATGTTATTTATATTCTTCCGCTTTTTTGCAAACCATTCGTAAACCACTGTCTCTTTCAGAATGTTTCATCCACAGATATATTATTGGAAAGTATTATAACTCTTATACTTACACCGATAAAGCAGACCAAAACTCGCAGGGGCATAAGAATGGTGTATCGAACCGCAAATCCAAGCACCCATATGAGAGTAATTTTCCAATTAATGAACTCATACTGACGATTTGTACGCGTCAATAAATTCCAACTTTTTAATTGCTCAGCTTCAAAACGTGACGTAACTTCATCTTCGATAATAGCTTCAACGCCAGCTTTTATGTAATCCAAACATTCTTCGAAGTGGAAGCTAATTTTTTCCTGAAAATGTTGTTAATATTAACAAAAAACATGTTTCCGTTTTCAATATATTAATGTCCGAGACACAGGTATATCATAGTTTTTGATACGTTTGGTATATACCAAGATACATTAAGTCAATGCTACGAAATATGTTTTAATAATAGGTTTGTCTTCGAACTTTTCCAGTAATAATTACCCAGTAAGTTCTTTTGTGAGTGTAAGCAATAAAATTACAACAGCAAAAGACAAAATTTTTTACAAATTCTCAAATCGTTTTTGCTTATAAACAACTATAGTGAGTAAATTTTTTCTATTATACTTTTATTTTTGCTGTGCGCCTTAAATAAGTGTAAAAATTGAATTTTTTCAAAGCTTCTTCGTACCAACAACAACTTTTGACAGAAAATGTAGATGCAGATGTATTTCTTGAAGGTGCAGATTTATTTCGCCACCTGGATGACCTGATATTAGAACCAAAATGTCTCTCTGAACTTATTCTCATTTACTGAAATAATAAGGTATCGATCCAGTAAGTATTTGTACAAATTATCTTCTTATCAAACATACCTATTATTAACCGGATTGAAAGGGGTTAATTTTCAAAATAAAAACTAGATCTTTTTTTACCTTGTGTGTGTGTCACACATACATATTAAACCTTCAAGCATTTGTATGTGAGTTTTATCTTCATTGAACAAAGTGTAATTTTCGTAAAATCGGAACTTTTACATTTTTTAAGACAATGTAGTTTTCAATTGAAATACGTTGAAGTCCTGCTTACAAAAATGTAATTATTACATCGAAGAAGTCCATACATTCCGTAATATGGGTATCCGGAGTTCGGTAAATAACCTCGAATTTTGTTTTTGGCGAGTGACCGGCTTTAAGACAAAAGAATCTCCTATTAATTCCAATATAAATATACTATATTTAAAAGGCAATTATTCGAGATTATTTTAATAATTCATACTTCTTATAACTGCATTTCTGAAATATCAAATATCAATGAATATCCAATCTTGCAATTACAAAACAATGTTGGTAATATTATTATACATTCTGCTGGACAAATTAAAGATAACATATTTATAATATAGCGTTCATACCAATGTATTTGTTGTTGTATCTGATAAAATACATAATTATTTTTGTGACCATTGATCAGTGTTATAAATATCGAAATGTTCAAAGTAATGAAATAACAGTCACTACCAGTAAACGATTAATTTTCCGTTGTTGGCTAAAAAATTTTACTGCTTTCTTCAGTGTTTATCAGCAAATGATAGCGGTAATATGTTGTTGGCTGTTGCCAATATTTGTTATTGTGCACTATACTAAAAAAGCACAACATATTTAATTGGTAGTTTTCAAAAATGACCTTCTGCAATGTTCAGTAATTGAGTTCCAGTGTTTCGCTTTTAATGAATATTGAAATTTTTCAGATTACGTATTCCTCGTTTCAGTATCTTCTAACATACAACAGCTTTACTTTTAAGAGTATAAATTAGTGTGTGCCCTAACTTCAATCTGGTAATCTTTAATTTAAATTCAATTGTTTTTCTATTTGATCTACTCACATCTTTTATCGTCTCCGTCAGCTTTTCTTTATTGAAATTTGGTTCGTTAGGTGTGGGCAATAATACGTTGTCACGATTGATAAGTGTATTCCCATTGGTATTATTAGCATCGTTGGATATTTCATTGGTCGCATCAACTGGACACAATTTGTCATTCTCCTTAGTGGGATTAGCAATAGTATGCGCTGCGTTCGCTTCGGTTATTGTTGCATGGCGCTCTTTATGAGCTATCTCAATGCTGACACGTCCGTACTATTGATAATAGAAATACAGAAGCATGATCATAGCCTTGACACTGACACAGTCACAACATATCGCTTACCTCAAAAATCCTGAGCAGCAACTTAACATAGGATCTTCGCACTCCAATTGACTTGTTGATTGCGGACAACAGTATTAGGAATAGAATGAAAACTGAAGTCGTTATCCAGAAAATGTCAATAATCGATGGGATATTACCCGGAAAATCAAACATCTTCCTCGATTTGCAATTTATACTATTTGTGTTACGTCTCTTCGTTAATTTATTCTACTTTATCGTATAATGGAATACGCGTCCAACTCTTGAACTACTCCTGTTGCAAATACATGTCGGTTGGAACTGGAGAGGACAAGGGACACATAATTCGACTTTCGACCAATTGATTTAATCGAAAAAAGATAATAATCGATTTTGCTGTTGTCGTTACCTTTCAAGGCATATTTAAGAAGGTAGCCCATCAGAAATTTATTAAGCGGAGTACACACTATATTTTTTTAATGACACTCTTGCCTAAATTTTGCTTGTTTGGTAGTGTGGTCTCTCATGTTCGCTATTCATCAGGCAACAACGAACATATTCATGGTTGTTGGAACGTCATTAGTTGATAAAACAGCTGTCATTCAAAAGCGATAGTGTGTACACCGCTTTATTTATTTATTCCAAAAATGCAATTTGAAGCCATTAAGGCCGATTTCATTTAAATTGCAGACTATACTACTCCATTTAACAAGATTTCTAAATGATATCTTAGAAGGTATTATTCTAAAAATAATAATATATTTCAATGTTTGGCAAGTGGCTAACTACTCAAGTAAGTGTATTAATATCACATATTCAATATTTAGTAATAAACAGCATTGTATAAAATATAAGAATTTAAATTTGTATATTATAAAAAAGATGACATACTTTAGTTTAGGTAGAAAAATTGAGAACTACTCCAACAACAAACTGTTTTAGAACAATGATATGTCAAAAATATTTTGCAAAATCAAACCGATTTGTAAGATTTTTTACACAACTTCATTCAGAAAATGTTAACAAATATATTGCCGGACAAAATTTTCAAAATTTGGATATTTTCATTTAAATTACAACATTTTTGACATTTACATGTACCAACATCTGTACTGATGCGACTACCTTATTAAATCTGCATTGGTTCCTTGAGGAATAGTTGATATTCAGCTGCTCTCCCTGTATGCCCTTATTAATAGCCTAATAAGGGCATACAGGGAGAGCAGCTGAATATCAACTATTTCTCAAGTTAGCTGTCAAAGTCAATTATTGTGAATTAGCTTTTATAATGAAAACATAAACGAGTCCAAACTTTTCACATTAAACTTGAGATTTAACAGCTGACATTCGCTAGCTGGGTGACCTTATTAATAGATTAGTAATTGATTAAAAAAGCTGGAAGTCTAAAATAATTGTGTTCACTCACCTTAAGAAACAATAGTTATCTGCAAAAATATTGTAAATATTTTGTTTTCATTTTTAGAGTATTAATTCTAAATAGAAAGCATTTTGACATCATGGATGAAATCAACTGGTCTTGCCGTTCGACATTATAATTGGGCCACAAACCAATGTTTCATACAAAGGAAAATGTAAAGTTTTTTATATGATGTTCGCGATTATGTTAACAATTTTGTATAAAACAAGAAACAAAAATATGGTGTGTGTGTGGATTACGTGGCCCTTTAAATTTAAATATGTGTTTATTGGGCGAAAGGGTCAAGGATGGGTGGGCTAGTGTGGGAACCAAACAAGTTCCCTTGTCATGGCTGTGTGTTGTGTCGTTTTATTTTGTATTCATTTTGTAGATTACCATTTTCACAATTGTTCGACCCCTAGAGCTGACGGTTGTTGGGTTGAGAATCCCCCTGAAAGTGGTTCTCCGACGATTAGTTGGAACCCCACTAAAGCGCCGCGGTATGTAACAAGATTAAAAAATAAAGGTTTTGTTTTGCTTATAGGTTATGTCATATGAAAAATACATATGCAGGTTTGAACGCAAAAGCTAAAAGTATTGTGTACATATGGATGAAAAAATTGACAGTACATATGTGAAATACATATGGTGTAAAAGCACCATAAGATTTGAAGAACAGAGAAAAGTTAATGAAATAAAAAAAATACACTATTCGTTGGAGATACACGCCAAACACAACAATATTATTGCAGGTTCTGGAAGCGGTATAGATTTTTTGGTTAAAAATATTGGATTCTTGTAGTTCTGTACCCGACCAATTTTACAATATAATGATTAACGAAATCACCTTTTGTAATAAAGCCGTGTTAAGATGTGAAGAACAGAGGAAAGGTAATGAAATAAAAAATACGACATTCATTGCACTATTTACTGACAATTTTTTTCCAACTTCATACAACGTATTTGTTCTTTTAAACGAAAATGGACTATAGGCGACAATTTTCGTTTAAAGGCCACATTTCATATAGTCTTCCCTGTTTTTATATAGTTTAAACGGACATGGCATTTAGATTTCTTGCAACATGTACAAATGTAAAAATTGCTAAATTCATAGTTCGTAAAATAGGTAGACGCATTATATACAGTATGAAGAAAATATTGGCATTAAAAAAAAAACTATGAGGAAATGGATTGAAATGAGGACAATTTTTCGCCAAATACAAAGTAGACAAGTCAACAGTTTATAAATTAATAAAGAATAGTTCTAAAACTTCAAATATGACTACGTTTAGACTACTAAACCCACTCGATCTCAAACGTCAACTCCATTGCGTATACGTCACTCATGATGCAATAATAAGGTGATGTATCAAAACAAAAATCTTTTTTTTTTTTTTTTTTTTTGTACTTCTACGTCGTCAAGTATGTTGGTGAAGCAAAAATCTTTGTTTTTGTCTCGATTATCTGTCAAATTTTCCATATAATATTTCAAATGGTTGGCAACACTGCACATCGAATTCGAGTAGAAATTACCCACTTTGACAGTTAATCAAGACATCAGCTGCGTTAAATGGACTACCTATTCATTGTGCCATGACGTCACTCTATCTCAAAATACTTATGGTGTTTTTACACGATATGTATTTTACATATGTGCTGTCACTTTTTTACATATGGAAATCGAACTCGTCATGTGAAACATACGGAAATTTCAATGTGTCAAAACGATATGCAATTACATATGTATTTTTTCCGAATAGGACGCGCTCTATTTTCGTATGTGAAACATAAAAGAAATCAGCTGTTTGAATGAAAGACATTGTTGGAAGAAAATAATTGCAAGCCAAAGAAAAGTATGAAAAGGCAACGATTACAAATTATTATTTCGTTTGTAGGTGTATAATTTAAAAATATGTTGATTTAAGAAAATTTATAGTCATGTTTAGGGTTTTTAATGAAAATAATCAAATGAAGCATTTTATTGTCCAGTGTAAATATAATGTAGCTTCTTAAAGATGGAAATACTGCGCCCGTACAGATACAACTCTGCTCTGTAGCGCAAGCATGTGCTTGAAGAAAATGCTTGTCGATTGTCCATCGTTTCGTGTTTAAGCGGATATATTTTTTTACAGGGTCTTTTTGTTTCGCCTCTTTTTGGTTACGACAAGGTTAAAATCACATGTGAGTATTTTAGGGAATTTTTTTTATTAAAATTCTGCAAAATGTGTGCAAAAATGAGTGATAAACAGTGAAATGTATAAACGGTCGAGAAAGAAAGAAATGTAGTCATTGCAAAAAAAATGTGTCGAGTGGCAGCAGACCACGCGAGAAGCTGATTTTTCTGCCGCATCTGGTGGCGAAGTCTTTTTGCATATATGCATGATTCAGTTTTTTTCATGTTCGGCTTTTGTATACGCCGATATCTACTCGTTTTGATACTTGACTAATTTAGTTAAAAGTGAAGACGGTAAAGAATCGATGCAAATTATTGGACAACGGAGTCGAAGTATAACAAAGGAAACCCCATTTTTTATCTTCCCGAGCTGTAAAATTCACCCAATTTTAATAATCGGTATGTACCGACACCTTTGTCGGACTAATCGGAGTAGAAGAAATGCCGGCAGTGTTTGAAACAGGTGCATTTTAAATTTCTAACATGGACTATTCGGAGGAACGTCCCTTGATCAGACAATACAATTTTGTAGAAGAAATGGTTTGCAAATATAGAGGTTATGACGTTGAGAATTTGATTTTTGTCGCGAATGTTAAACGTCTGTATCTGCACGGCTACGGTTGTAAGTGTGTGTTGAAAGTATGTGTGCGTATGTAGAGGTGGTGTAGTGTAGTCGTAGTAGTACGTATACATGCCTGCCTACTCTATCACCGTCGTAGAGTACAACAAAAGTGCCTGAAAGAAGCGTGTGTATAAATTACTTTTTCTTTGCTAATGCGGTATGATGTTTGTATAGGTCAAAAGATTTGATTATAGAACTTATATATGGTATTCCTAAATATAAAGTTTCCAAAACAGTTGACAATAGGTCGGTAGCAATTCTAACATGTTGATTGAGGCGTGGCATTGCTTTGAAAGTAATTTTCAATATCTAACCAATATTCGTTGTATTTCAGATTATTCCTTTTTGAAATCAGGGTCTAAACTTGAACTTTGTTAAAATGGCTGAAATGGATGATCATCACTTCGAAACCGGAGATTCTGGTGCTTCTCAAACTTTCCCTATGCAATGTTCCGCATTGCGTAAAAACGGTTTTGTAATGCTCAAGGGTAGACCCTGTAAAATTGTCGAAATGTCTACTTCCAAAACAGGCAAACACGGTCACGCTAAAGTCCATTTGGTCGGCATTGATATCTTTACAAATAAGAAGTAAGTACAAAGTAAATATAACAAGAATTGTTGATCTCAAATATAAAATCCCATTGCTGCTTTCTTTCAGATATGAAGATATCTGTCCATCAACTCATAATATGGATGTCCCTCATGTTAAGAGAGAGGACTACCAATTGACCGATATCAGTGATGACGGATACTTGACCTTGATGTCTGACAACGGCGAAATTAGAGAAGATCTTAAATTGCCCGAAGGTGACTTGGGTAACTCTTTGAGAACCGATTTCGACAATGGCAAAGATCTTTTGGTGAGTACCAATAACATTTACAAGACTGTGATTTCCAATTAATACTAATTTCATCTTGTTACAGTGTACTGTCCTTAAGTCTTGCGGCGAAGAATGCGTTATTGCCATTAAGACTAATACCGCTCTTGACAAGTAGAGAGTGTGTATTTTGTGTGTAGTGAGTTCTTTTTATTTTTGTTTTTAAGAAAATACGTACCAACAGCTACAACAAGAAATAAAATTTTTTGATAAAAAATGAGAATAATAAGGACTTCTATAATTCTAGTTGCTGCAAATTTCTTTTGCATTTAAAATGAGTAAAACAATTTATTGAAAATACAATGTGAAGTATATTTCTTAAAATAATACATTTTTATACCACGGTTATTACATATATATATATATGTTTTATCTTTATAGTTTAGTACTGAACCATCAAGATTGTGTTTTTTTTTTACTTTCCACCAACATGGACAAAATGTGTGTGTAGATATTCAAAATCTTTCCTTTGAAATATAACTTTCCTAGCAGAAAATTCAAATACAAATCTCAGAAATTTAAATGCAAAATAAAAATCAACAATTAGAAAATATAATCAATGCCGAAGTTATTAGTTTGCTGCAAACACTGAACAGAGGCAATTAACAAAGGATTTTCTTAAAAAAAATTTTGCCAATAAAATTTTATACTTTTAATAAAAAAAAAAATATAAAAACTAAGTATCGAAACGTTTTTGACATTATTTTTAATTCAGCATGCTTTTACGTTTTCTCATGTACTATTCACTTTAATTTTCATACCTCTGGCAGCTTTAAAAAAATTGCTTTGAACATAAGTCTCTTACAAATGGAGGATCAATGGAAACTATATATGAAATGCAAAATTAAAATCTTGTAATAATCTCATCCACTTAATGATGCCTAAAATATAAATGATGAAAACAAATATACTTGTGAAAAGTTTAAACATTTATTAAAGAATATATATTTTTTAGATCTTTAATGGGTTTAGGGATATTTTACAGGCACTATTAGTGTTAAAATGCGAAACAATATAACTCGGGGTTTACACATGCAATTTTTATACACAACTCTGCTGATATTTACGATTTTCTTTTGAGTTGCATTCCCCTTTTCGTTCTTCTTCTCATCCTTTCCAAAGAACTCAGCAGAATTGCTCTCAAAAATTGCATTTGTGAATCCCGACAACTTGCGCATACGTAGATTAACATTTCCTAACGATGATCATATATGAAATTATATCAGAAATTATATATTATATGAAATTATATCACCCATGTTTGGGTATATTTCAAAAAAATATACCAACAGTCTTCTCCTATTAGGTCAATAACCTAAAAACGGCAGTCTACGGACACCATAGCCGTTTAACGCCGCCATGAATGAAATAAAGTTGCAAGATGGCCGGAGCAGTGATGCCAGATTTTTCAAAAATCCCTACGCATAAAATTCCCTTTTCTTATACACATTTCTGTTTTCTTTTTTTGTACATTTTGAATTAAGCATATAAATTTATAAAAAAAAGAAAACTTAGTAATAAATACAGTTGAGTACGCTTATAACGAGCACCGGATATAACGAACACATTTCATATTAAATATGATTATAACCAGCCCAATCATGAATATCGATAGGAATTGAGTACGCTTATAGCGAGCACCGGATATAACGAACACATTTCCTATTAAATATGATTATATCCAGTCCAATCATGAATATCGATAGAAATTGGATCCTCATGGAAAATATTTTACTCGCGGGTTGGAACCTCCGATCATGAATAACATGAGAAAAAAATATATGTAAATATGGCATCACCAATGAGCCTTTTTAGCACCTTGTGTACCCTTTTTGATATAGCCATAAATCCCTACTTTACATTACGAATCATGGTCACGAATCATGAACATTTTTTTCTCTCTCTTATTGGTAAATTGACAGTAGGGTTGGAGACCATTGCCGCAATATTTATACCTGTTATTTGCATAAAAAATAAATCTTACAATTTAAGGATAAATCTGCATAATAAAAAAATCTACTATAGGTAAATTTCTGTAAATTCGTACCTTTTGTGAAAGAAAATAGAAATAGTGCGACCCTAATTACTCTCAATTTACCAATGAGAGAAAAAAAAATACCATGGTTCGTCAACATGATTCGTAATGTAAAGTTGGGCAAAAACATAGAAACCGTAAAGACTTGGTTCTTTACGGTTTCTATGTCTTTGCTATAAGCCCTTGAGCGCTTTTTGTTTTTGTTCGAGTCTACGCAATTTTTCACTTATTTGAGATGTTGTTTATCGGTGGATGTGTTTTGTCAAAATGTTGTAATTTAAAAGAAAAAAGTTAAAAATCAAAAGTTGTAACCAAGGCTGTTATTACCAGTTGAATCTTGTGAGTAATATGAGTGAAAACAGTTTTGATCAATGTTGTACCAAAAAGTGAATGTGAATCTAGATACTGAAAAATTACAAAAATTTAAAAATTAAATTAAAAGTGGTCCTTTATTAGGTTAAGCATATCATATGCATTTTGTAATTTATCTTTAATGGGCCTGAAGGCTTTGAATTACAAGTTAAATAAAATTGAATTGAATTGAAAAGTTGTCGAGATAATATTTGCTTCATGAACTTGACGCACCAATTACTTTCATACTTTAACATTTTGTTGATTGCGATTTTTAAATAACTTTGGATATGTTCGGTTGATCAGCGTCAACGCATTTGATCAGGTCAAACGCCCTAGGGTGGTGAAAAATTTAAGTACTTTTATCTATGGCTGTGAACATTTTTTGGTATGGCGACCAGATTTTGGAAATGAAAATAGGTGAGAGTATGGGAACTGGTGCCCTTGTTTACATACATCTGCATTCTCTTTTAGTAAGTCATTGGAACAACTCTAGTTTGGTAAAAACGATCAGATTTTTCTGAAATTTTTTTCCAGAGGTAGGTATTTTTACCCTAATTATGGGGATATCTTTTTTTCTTGGGGGACGTACCCGGTTACCCCGTTATTTGACCCGGAACTTCGGGTACGGGGGCTTAAGTCTAGTTTAGGGCCCCCTCCCGGATCATTTTGAAATTTTTACCACATGTAGTCCTTGGGGCCCTGATTACAGCAGTATACTTTTTTTCTTGCGGAAATCGGTATTTCCGGAGATATAGGCCTCCAAAGTTTCGTTGGGACCCTTGTATTTTCAGGTAATTTTTTAAAACTCACTAAGGCAATATGGGTATCATTTTAAAGCATTTGAAGTCCTGATTACAAAAATTTTTATATTCATATTAAATAAGTCCATACATTCTGAGATATAGGTCTCAAAATTTCGATAAGTACCTTCCATGTTGTTATTGTGTAATATTGGTAAAGGCTATATAGGTATCATTTTAAAGCTTAAATACATTCTGTCGCGTAGCCGGTGTTGCCATCTGTCCATAGGAGAAAGTATTAAATTCCCGGCCGAAGGCCGGCTACCAACAAAAACTATTCTAATTAAAAGGAGATTCTGTCGCGTAGCCGGTGTTGGCATCTGTCCAGAGGAGAAAGTTTTAAAACCCCGGCCGAAGGCCGGCTACCCACGAACACTATTCCAATTAAAAGGAGATTCTGTCGCGTAGCCGGTGTTGCCATCTGTCCATAGGAGAAAGTCGTAAATCCCCGGCCGAAGGCCGGCTACCCACAAATACTATTCTAATTAAAAGGAGATTCTGTCGCGTAACCGGTGTTGCCATCTGCCATAGGACCTATATCTCAGGAAGTATGGACTTATTTGATATGAATATTATATTTTTATAATCAGGGCTTCAAATGCTTTAAAATGATACCCATATTGCCTTAGTGAATTTTAAAAATTGCGAGAAAACTTAAGGGTCCCAACGGAACTTTGGGGGCCTATATCTCCGGAAATACCGATTTCCACAAGAAAAAAAGTATACTGCTGTAATCAGGGCCCCAAGGACTGCATGTAGTAAAAATTTCAAAACGATCCGGGAGGGGGCCCTAAACTAGACTTGTTCCAGCTGGGCTTAAGACTTGTTCCCTTAGCTGGCTTGTTACAGAACGGTTGTTCCATAAGCCGAGCTTAAAAAAGATTTCCAAGCGCTTCGGTCTTGTGCGCAAGTCCACCAATTTGGAAGACCACGTTCCAATATGTTATTTTCTACTTGGTCTTTCCATCTAATTCGTGGCCTTCCCCTTCTACGGGAACCATCAGTAGGCTCATTTTTATATGCCTTTTGAGCTGGGGCTTCTTCATTCATCCGCACAACATGGCCTAGCCACCGTAGTCGCTGCAGCTCAATACGACTGACTATGTCGATGTCCGCGTATAAATTGTAGAGCTCGTGGTTCATTCGACGCCGATATTCACCGTCGACGCAGATCGGCCCGTAGATCTTTCGGAGAATTTTTCTCTCAAACACCCCAAGCGCTGCCTCATCTGCTTGCGCAAGTACCCATGCTTCTGATCCATATAATAGCACGGGTAGTATCAGCGTCTTGTAAAGTGTGAGTTTGGTCTGGCGAGAGGTGGCCTTGTTTCTAAACTGCTTACTTAGACCATAGTAGCATCTGTTGGCCATCACAATCCTGCTCCGAATTTCAAAACTGATATTATTCGTTTTATTTATGGCGGTACCAAGGTATATAAAGTCTTTAACTACCTCGAAGCTGTAGTTCTCAAGTTCCATAGTTGGTCCGAGTCTACTGGACGTCTTGCGCGTTGATACCATCAGCTTGGTCTTCTCGCCGTTTACTGCCAGACCTACCTTGGCAGACTCCTTTTCAATTTGTTCAAAGGTGGCTGTTACCGCTCGCAATGTTCGACCTATTATATCGATGTCATCGGCGTAGGCGAGTAACTGATGTTGTTTGGTGTACAGAGTGCCATTTCTGTTCACCTTTGCGTCTCGTATGACCTTTTCCAGTAGGATGTTTTAAATAGCATGGTGTTTTTTTGCTGACCGCCCTTCGGCCGGGGATTTAAGACTTTCTCCTATGGACAGATACAAACATCGGCTACGCGGCAGAAACTCCTTCTAAATAGAATATTTTTTGGGTAGCCAGCCTTCGGCCGGGGATTTAAGACTTTCTCCTATGGACAGATACCAACACCGACTACGCGACAGAATCTCTTGTTAAATAGAATAGTTTTTTTGGGTGACCGGCTTTCGGCCGGGGATTTACGACTTTCTTCTATGGGTAGATGCCAACCACGGCGACCCCGTGGTCCCCGATTTTTTTGAAAAACTCCCTAAAAGTCGAACTTGGGTCCATTATAAGCCGTCTCCAACGCTGACTCAAATGATAACCACAATTTG